GGGGACGCGGGCAGAGGAACAGGAGCGGGGAGAGGGGGTTGGGGGCTGGAGAATCCTTGGGCTTTGGGGTGGGGGTTGGGAACACAGGTTCTCAGATCTCAAAATGTAGTCTGTGGCCTAAAACTCCAGAGTTGAGAGACGTAAAGATCACGGACTCTGGCGTGAGAGGCACCCAGTTTCCAAGCCCAGTCTCCCCCAGACCCAGGAAGGGCTTCTTAACCTTTCTGCGCCTCCTTTCCCTTATCTTTCATGAGGATTAAATCAGATAACACCATGAGAAAACTTCAGCTCAGCGCCCAGCATGTTGCAAAAAGCTTTATTAGGGAAGGGTTTCCTCCTCTCTCGCAGCAGCTTCCAGTAGTTGTTTCAGGAGGGTTTTTGATCCAGAGTTTTTTGACTGAGCCCTCCCGAGAGACCATCGGGGCGCCAGGCTGGGGAGGGAGTAGCGGAGAGAGGACCAAGGAGTCAGGCTCCGGGAGGGACTAGGAGGGGGCGGGGACACCTGGGCCGCAGGTGAAGCGAGGAAGCAGCCAGTCAGAATCTACCTCTCTCCATGGAGGCCCGGCCAGCCCTTCAGCCCCGCCCCTCAGTGGTGACCAAGGCAATTCACTCCCAGCGGGACCCAAAGGACTCTGAACTGCGCGCCCTGCGCTTAGCGCGTGCGGACCGCGCTCTGATTGGTCTAGAGGAGAGGGTGGAGCCGGGCTCATCCGATAGGGGAAAGGGGGGCGGGGCTGGCGCGTGGTGGTTGACAAGATCTCTCTAAATTTGCATTTTCGGAGGCGGGCCGAGCCTTAATTGGCCCTTAGGATGTGAGGGCGGGACTGTTTCTCTGTGTCATTCAGAAACGTTCAATGACGAAGGAATAACCGTATTCCTCAAAACCATCTGGGGTTGGCCAAATTTTACAAATAAACAAGACTCTGACAATTGAGAGCGATCTCCCAAAGTTGTCAGCGCTAGTACAGGATACAGGGTACCTAGAACCCAAACCTGTGCAACTTCAAAAGTCTAGGCTTTTCCACTACTGTCATGGAGAAGTGGGGTTAAAATGTTAATGAACAGTTGGTATATGCCAGGCACTCTTCTTCTTTTTTTTTTAAAGATGACCGGTAAGGGGATCTCAACCCTTGACTTGGTGTTGTCAGCACCACGCTCACCCAGTGAGCTAACCGGCCATCCCTATATGGGATCCAAACCCGTGGCCTTGGTGTTATCAGCACCGCACTCTCCCGAGTGAGCCACAGGCTGGCCCACTCTTCTAAATGCTGTGCTTGAATTGGCTCTTTTAATCTCTCTCTCTCTCTCTTCTTTTTAAAGGTGATCGGTAAGGGGATCTCAACCCTTGGCTTAGTGAGCCAACCGGCCATCCCTACATAGGATCCGAACCCGCGGCCTTGGTGTTATCAGCAGGGACAGGCCGGCCCGTCTCTTTTAATCTCAAAACAACTTCATGAGGAGCCTCCTCCTCTGTTTGCTGGAGGGCCTGGTACTTGCATACTGGCCTGGGCTCTTCCATACTCTACTTTCTCCAAGATCCCTTTTCTGGCGTTTGAAGCTTTTCACAAAATGGTGCCTACAACCCCTTCTCTCCTCATTCTACTCCCAGGACAATTCAGCAATGTCCACAGCTTCCATGACCATCTGCCGTTGACAGTACCCAACCCCCTTCTTCAGACCAGGAGCTCAAGGATCAGGGCTCAGGCGTCCAGCCACCAAACCACCTCCGAGTTTTCCCTCAAAACTACTCCTTCTCATGGGTTCCACACCTTGGGAATGGCTCCACTGTCTACCAGCCACCAGGCCAAATCCCAGGTGCTTGTCCCTTCCCTCTTCACCCTCCTTCATAGCCTGTCAATTTCCAGCCCTGTCCCTGCTGCCCTGCCTCTCTCTGCCCTTCCCCTCCTCCCCATCCACACACCTGGCCCAGCTCAGGTCTCATCCTCTCCAACCTGGGCTACAGCACTAGACTCCTCCCGACCTCCTGGCCTGCAGTCTCACCCTCTTGATTCATCCACTATAGAGGCCCCAAAAGGTCTTTTTCCCATCCAGAATTGGATCTGCCTTCCCCTGCTCACAGACCTTTCATGGGCACTTGGAATTAAAATTCAAATAGGTGTTCAAAACCCTGCAAAGGTTCTTGCACACCTCTCTATCTTATTTCTCACCACTCTGCAGTCTCTAATCCTTCCCTGTCTCCAAATCTCTTTGTTTTTTTGCTAATCCCAGCAACAGGGTGCTGCCTATGGCCCTCCAAACACATTGGTCTCTTCCCAGCTACCTGCTCTTCACACATACTCAGTTTCCTCTGCTTGTGACATCCTCCCCTGGCCCCTGCTCACTGCCCAACCCTTACCCATCTTTCAAGACAAAATGCAGATGTTACATATCTGAAAAGAATTCCCTGACCTCCAGGCTGGGTTAGTGCCTTTTCTGGGTTCCCACGGAGCCTGCAGCTGCCTCTATCACTATCTGTCTTTAAAAAGATCTAATTTTGGGCCGGCCCAGGGCTCACTCAGGAGTGTGGTGCTGGTAACACCAAGGCCATGGGTTTGCATCCCATATAGGGATGGCTGGTTAGTTCACTGGGTGAGCATAGTGCTGACAACACCAAGTCAAGGGTTAAGACTTACCGGTCATTAAAAAAAAAAAAAGGTCTAATTTTTTTTTTTCCTTTTTGTCTTTTTTCATGTCCGGCAACGGATCGCAACCCTCAGTGTCGCGCCCGTACCGGACTGGGA